AGAGGACTCCTGCAAGCATCTACAAATAGCAATCACAAACTAATTTCATGAAAATTGGGTAAAAATTTAAAATCATCTCCTTTATCTAAAAGTCGAAAGGAAAAGAAATGAAAACTACGACTAATTAGGTGCGTGCAAACCTTTCCAAAATCCAACAATAATGAAGTGGCATTGGAATTAGAAAAATAATGAAGAACATTAGATAACAGGAGGGATAAAAGAAATATTTGAAAGACAAAGATGTAGCACCATGTAATTGCTCTCGTATTGTGTATTTTGGTTTTAAACAAGAGTTGTACAACATTTTCAGATCAAATCAATAATTTTTTTTTTCCAAAATTGGTTTCCCATGTTCTAGTTAATTTTTTTTACTGTCCATATCTTGAATTTGCAATTTATGAAAAGATTAACTTATTGTGAAATAGACGTGCAAGAAAATCTCTTTCTGTGCAGTTAAATGTGTTATACTTAGTATATAAATACAACAAAAATAAAGAGAATTATATCAATAAAAGAGAAATTGTGTAGAATACATGAAAGCAATTTTTCTATTTTTAAAGGAAAATGATAAAAAAACCAACAACACCAAGAGACTGACGATGAGGTCCCAACTGTTATGGTATCATAAAGTAGTCTACATCCTCTACCTCATTTGTCAGTCTCAAATATAAACTTCCCACAGCTTAAAACAAAAGAATACAAGCATATTAATATCAAAGGAAAATATGTTATCTTCCCTCCAATGTGTAAAAGTTAGCGACATCATGAAATTGGCTATGAATATCACCTCTAATCGCCACAGGTAGCGATGGCAAAAAAGCTCGGACGGCTCGAGCTCCACTCGAAAAAAACCCAAGCCGGGCCCAGCTCAGGCTCGGTGGAACCAACCCTAGGCTCGGGCTGAGCCCCACTTTGGGGAGTCGGCTCGAGCCCGGGAGGGCCTGTGGCCTGGGCAAGCCTCTTATTAAAAAAAAAAAAATTTTTTTTAAGGCAGCAAGTAGGCAGGTTGCAACAGGCATGCATCTATTTTTGCAGGCAGCTAAGAAAAAATAATTTAAAAAAATCAAAAAATTCGAGCTGGCTCGGCTCGTCAAGGCTCAGGCCGAGCCTCTTTTTTTTGGTCGGGCTCGACTCAGCTTGACTCGGGCCAGAAAAAGCTCGGTTCAAAAAAGCTCGGGCTCTGCTCGAACTTTTTTTTTTT